TGGGCTCCTGGGTACGGCAGGTTTGGGGGTGCTGGCATGAGAATCCCAGCCAGGTGCTCGGGCAGGGGGTGAGCCATGACACGGGTGCCACTGGGGCTGATGCAAGGTGTTTGTCCCTCCAGGTGAGCAGCTCCAGGCAGGTAAGTGCTGGCATTGTCCCTGTGCCCTGCACTGCCATCTCACCCCTGGCACAGCTGAGCCAAGTCCTGCCCACCCTGCCTTTTCCTCGGCACCCATGGGTGCCTCAGCACCTGGAGGAGGCAGCCCCTTCCCAAAGGGTTTCCCTGCATGGAGACCTGAGACCCAAGCTGTGCTTAAGGCACCAGTGGTGTGGGATGAGCCAGCAGGTCAGTGACACTGCTGGTGTCCCCAGGGCACCAGTGGCCCTGAAACACAGCTGGGTCCCCAGGCAGTGGCCGGGGCAGTGACCACGGCAGGGTTCTTCCTCTGCGAGGGACTGCTGGGACAACACTTCCACGTCGTCCCCAACGGGGTGGCTGAGCCCCAGCCTGGGGACCTCTTCCTCTTCCCGCTGGCCTCGGGGGGCCCTGGCTGGTGGGGCGCCCACGCTGGCATCTACTGCGGGGACGGGGAGATCATCCACCTGGAAGGTGAGCCCCGGGAGCTGGCATGGCACGGGACATCTCCATGGAAGGGACACGGGGTACAGAGCCCGCTTTGCCCCGCAGGCAGCTCAGGGGTGTCCCCATCGGGCGTGGTGGCCAAGCACGGCAAGCGGCACCTGCTGCGGACGCGGGGCCGGGCGCGGGTGCTGCGCAGGAAGGGCGCGCTGGACGTGGCCGCGCTGCAGCGCCGGGTGCGCGCGGCCATGGAGCAGCCCCTGGACTACGACGCCGTCTCCTGCAACTGCATCCACTTCGCCCTCGCCCTCCTGGGGCTGGGCCACCTGGCTGGGGCCATGGTGGGTGCCGCCTGCAGATCAGGTGTCACCCACCTGGGGTCTGGCATCTGCTCCAGCCAAGGGTCACCAAACCTCTTCTGCTTTCCCAGGTGTCCCCAGCGCTGCAGTGATGGAGATGATGGTGTGTCACAGACATATTTCATGAAAAATCCTTTTGCCAGGATCATTTCTCCTGAGAAGCTGAGAAGCTTCAGCTTCTCTGTGTTTTGCTGCTTTGGAATGTGATTTGGAGAATTGTTTAGCCAGCATGTGAAATTGTTTTCACTTGATGACCAATGACAGCCACCTGTGTCAAGGCTGTGAGCAGTCATAAGATTTTATTATCATTCCTTTTCATTCCTTGCTGGCCTTCTGATGAAATCCTTTCTTCTATTCTTTTAGTATAGTTTTAATATATCATTTTCTTTTAATATAATATACACCATAAAATAATAAATGAGCCTTCTGAAACATGGATTCAAGATTCTCATTTCTTCCCTCGTCCTGGGACCCCTGTGAACACCACCACAATGTGGAATATGTGGGGCTGGAGCATCCTCCCCTGGGCACCAGAACTGCACTAGTGGTTTGCCAATCCTCCTGTGTGGCAATGAACAGTTGCATGGAAACCCTGTGCCAAGCCTGTTTGATTTGTTGTTTTCTCACTTTTCCCAGAAGCTGCTGTCAAGAGATGTCCCACCTTGACACCCCTTGAAGGGAGGGGCTGCTCTTTGCTCCCCATGGCCTCCTGAGACAATCATCTGCCTCTTCCACTGCTGGCATTTAATTTTGAGCGTAAAAATGAATATTCCGTGGGCTGCTGGGTTGGAAATGGGCCAAAAGGCTGCATCAGGTGTACCCCAGGGGTCAGCTCTGTGCCCGTATATCTAGTATATCATTCCTATCATGTTATTGATAATAATATTAAGCATAGACTACAATATTTATAAGAATAATATAAATTAATACCACACCTAATATATATAATAATTTAGATATCATACATCACATATACTACCATGTGGAATATAGACCATAAAATATTAAATTTTACAATATAGTAGATAATACATAATACAATATGTAATATGTAACACATTAAATATTATATAATATAATTCATATAATCTGCAATATAATATAGCACATAGCATAACACATAGCATATATTGCATATATTATATAATATATAAACTGTAGAATGTAGAAAGGTTTATGGATTATCTACAACATAGCATGTTATAGATATGCCATTGAATATGGCAAATATATAGTATTGCATACTTAATGAAATCTGTAATATATTGTAATGTAATGTAACAAATAACATGCAATATATGCTATACAGTATGCAGCATGTAATAGAGTGTACAAATTATATGTAATGTGTAAATAAATGTATATTATGTATACTGCACGCAGTATTTAATATAAAATGTAATACGGTAGGATTTAATAATACATATTATTACAGCCGAACACATAACATTCTTTACTATAATGTAATCTATTTTAAATACATCTAATTATAACCATACACAATCATGCCTATTGCAATAATGATAGATTTTGGTGGTTCTGGACGGGTATGTGTGCGGCTGTGAGCCCAGTGGCTGTCACTCTGTCACAGCCGTGTCCCCAGCATTG